TATAAATATAAATAATGCCCATGTAAACACCCTGTGCAATAACTATACCTATAAATATAAATAATGCCCATGTAAACACCCTGTGCAATAACTATACCTGTAAATATAAATAATGCCCATGTAAACACCCTGTGCAATAACTATACCTGTAAATATAAATAATGCCCATGTAAACACCCTGTGCAATAACTATACCTGTAAATATAAATAATGCCCATGTAAACACCCTGTGCAATAACTATTCCTTTAAATATAAATAATGCCCATGTAAACACCCTGTGCAATAACTATACCTATAAATATAAATAATGCCCATCTAAACACCCAGTGCAATGACTATACCTATAAATATAAATAATGCCCATGTAAACACCCTGTGCAATAACTTTGTATAATAATCTTGCTATTAAAAAAATGTGTACGATGGACGCACTGTACACACTGTATATATCCCATCATGCACCTTTATCTTCCTTTGGCCCCTTCTTCTTCTCCTTTGACTATTTGAGCTGATAAACCAACCGTCATTTTATCCACTGTGAGATTGATAAGGTCGATCAATCAATTTTTGGTTCTGTTTAAATTTTCTATGTGAGTTTTCAGTTACACTTTCAGTTTTTTACAGTAACACCGGACCGCGTATGTATGCCGAAAAATGCATCCCTGCCAAGCAGAAAGTCAAACGTGCATCTACACAGACCAGTGTGATGCATTCCCGAGCATCAGATAGCTATGGACCATAGGAAATTTCATACTTACAAGGAAAGAGACATAAACAGAACAGAACTTTACTTATACTCTTATATCTGTTATAGGTATTTCAGTGTTAAATTCTGTTTAAAGTAACAGATCAATAAAAATGTCTCTGGATCTTTACTGGTTGATGATTTTCTTTATTCGGACCCCACTGATTTTTAATTGGTTCCCCTGGTTTAATGTTTGTAAATCTTTATTTCCCGTCATGTGCTCTATCCAATGCAGATCATTGGCTCCATCCACATCTAGTGAAAACTAGTGTGATTGGATGAGTCATAGAACGCAAACACTCATTGGTTAGTTAAAGGAAATCATCAGAAGCAAGCAGGTGTTCTTCAAACTGCTAACGTGAATTGTCTATGCCATACTACAATGTGGGATTCAGAAAAAGATGTTGAAATGTCTGAAAGGTCGGACACAGGCGAGAGCGTATCGGGAGACGGAGACGAACAAGACCTCCCTCATCCTTGGCCCTATCTCAGAGAAGTTTTAGAAATAGTCGAAAAATTGAGCTTTCAGTTCATATAGCGGCATCTGGCTGTTTTTATTAAAGGTTACTTTATACTTTTATACTTTAAGTAGTTTTTGGAGCACATACTTTTTCACTTTTACTTGAGTAAAGAGGTCAAGTTGATACTTCAACTTTTACCAGAGTGTTTTTAAACTGCAGGATCTATACTTCTACTTAAGTAACAAATGTGTGAACTTTTGACACCACTGGCAGTTTATTACCGGAAGTTGTCTTGATGTCTCTGCCAGCAATGTTACAGCTCTTGTGTGGAAGTTTGCTGGTTGGTTGTTAAAAGTCGCCGCCCCTTTATCACTGTGTGACATGTTAGTGATAACAGAGATACTAAGGTTATTACTCAGACCTGTTTCCTCGCCTGGTCAATCTGTCTATGAGGTAGGGTTGGTAAGCTTGCATTTTGTTTCATTGATGATTCTTTGACAGGAAGATGATTCATGTGATAACTGGCCCATTTTTAGATAATCCTACAGTTCAAGTGCAGCAGCTGTTGGGATGCAAAATGAGCTTTAGGAGAATACATACACACTAAAAACAAATAAAATAAATGACACAACAAACAAGTTTTAATAGGTTAATTATCTGTTCAAATGTTAAATAAATGAAGCATAATAATAAAACTACAACAACTGCAACAACTACAGGTAAAACGTTTTTGCCCCTATAAGTTTTCCCTCTTTGTGACATTTAAAGGGGAACGTCGTTTCTTTTCCATTGGTCTTTGATTTTCCGTTATTCCATCATGTTCTACTCACCCATATGAGTTTAGTGTCATTTGGAGCCGTTCTGAAGATATTCCGTTAGGTTATATCCAAGTAACGTCTTCCTATGGGCAACGACTTGAAGGCACAAACTAAACTGTTCATCATTTATTCTTAATGGTACGCCAGCATTCAGAACATGCAGGCCAATCACTGTCCCTGAGTGAAAAATTGATTACAAAAAGGAAGATCAACCAGTTAGACTGAGCCCTCCTTAGCTGCAGTAAATGAATATCAAAACACGTTAATCAGAAAAAAAGGCTGTTTTCTTCCAGTGGTGGTTCATTGCGGTATGCAACAAGTTACTACTAGAGCTTTGAAAATAGGAAAGAAAATCAACGCTGGGAAGAAAAACTGGCTTAAAAAGCCATCAGTAAACCAGGCTGTCCTGGGAAATCTACTTAGATCTAGATCTAAACTAGATCTAAAGGCCAAGTCTACAGAACAGGACTGGCCCTAACAAATACTGTATTTTTTGCATTTTCTGTCACCTTCATGCTCTGCAGCGATAATGAGAACATCTCATTTCTAATAACTTCATGTAGCCCAATGATAAGTTTAAAAAATAAACATTTGATTGTTACAGTTGGTGTTATAATTTTCAAAATGAAAACCTTTGATAATCCAGGAAAGCAAAATGCAGTGAAGGTGACAGCATATAACCAGGTTTGTCCTTAACATCCTTTCTTTTTGGCTGCAGAATACAAAAGTGACTCTAGAACAGAAAACCAAAGAGAATGTCATAACAAAATGGATAGGCTGCAAGGAAATGGATTAAAACCCAGGATTTTGTTTTCATGACAGAGAAGGTAGATAAATTCTATAGAAGAATAACTTTGAATTACTGAAATAAATAACTGCATAATAAAAAGATAAGCATTAAGATGAATACACAAATAAAGAAAATCAATTGATAAAAGCAAGCAGTAATTAACTTGCATAATGAGGAATAATTCACATAACTGTTTTTATTAGCTTTTTCATATGTTTCTAACATTGCAGAAGCAGCCCAAGACCCAACCTGATCATAGGGACCCGTCGTTGGTCCCAACAAGTACCTATGTGTCTCCAAAAGGTAGAATATTTCTGGGAAATTGTCCCCACAAGGTTGTATAAAATCCCCCATGCCCTATCCACATGAACAACATGCACCCACACCAGCTAGGTCGCCAAACCTTGACTAACCAACCACTCTTTCCAGGCAAACCAAGCCAGCCACAGACTGCAGTGCACAGGTGGAAGCGGTAACCGCAGTCGCCCCATCCACTGGCTGTAGGTACTACCTAGCGCCACACAAGGGACGTAAAAGACCAAACACCGTACCAACCACACACCACAAGCCTGGAAAACTCACAGGGCCAAGTAACCCCAGGAGAGCACCAGCACCTTTGTTTTTTTCTAGCTAAATTTATGGCTGAAACTTCTGCTTAAATAGGAGACAAGAAAACAAAGAACAGGTTAAACCCTTAAAGCAGCCAGAGGGAGAGTTCAGGAGGAGGAAGCCAGGGTAGACACGAGACACAAAACTGCAAATACAAAGAGGCTACTACTAATGTCACTCTATCTTTCTCTATTGTTTCTCATCCTCACTATCTATCTCTGGTCCATAATAACAGAACCTTTGTGTTTTCAAACAGCAGGAAACCTGTGATGAACATTTTACCAACATGTACAATGAGGTCAGTAGCAGAAAATAACACAACCTTTCCAAGTAACACGTCCACCTCACTGATCCAGCATTTCAATGCAAAGCCATCAAATACTGGCAGTGGATGCAAATATGTGTATTTGACATATCTTTATTCATTAATGCTGTCAGCTGCACTCATTTGTCTGGAATTATATTATTCCAAAGGTAACCAAAGTTTGCAACAGCACCGCACACAAATGGCAGGTATGATCGCTATTTGAAGAAGATTCCAAAAACATTGGTCGGAGGAGAAAAGGGGCGTTCTTTGTGTCTTTGAACATTTTTGAAATAGCAAAAGTAAAATAATAATGCCCAGGAGCCACAAACATGACAGAGTCACTGTTTTCGCTAATGTTAGCACACGTCCATTAATGACATGTATCATGGAGGACTAAAAGGGGAAGCCGACCCTTGTGAGCCTTTCTAGTTTGAACAAAAGAAATTTGAAGGAATTGAATTTTATTGATCTCACACTGGAGAAATTCCCTCTCTGCATTTAACCCCTCCCCTCGGGGAGCAGTGGGCTGTCATTGTGCAGCACCCGGGGAGCTGTGTGAGGTTAAGGGTCTTGCTCAGGGACCTAAAGTGGAGGCTGTGGGGATTGAACTGGGTACTTGCAAACTTCTCAGAGCACAGCTCACTGCTCCAACCACTAGGCCAGCACTCTGACCCAGGCCAAAAAAAACTAAGAAAGTAAAAATATTTCGACAGGTTTTTGCTGACACCCAAACACCAACACACATTTTAACATGAAAAGGTCAGATTTCCTGGTGAGGCCTCCTTGAAAGACACAATTACAGTCATTAATTTAAACAAGAAAGGGGAAAACCTTTTTTTTTTGGCAGAAGAAGTTTTCCAAAAAAACTTTTCAATACAAGAATAAACTTTTACTTTTATAAATCTGGCTTTATTAAGGAAATAATATAGTTTTCTATAAAAATCCAATCCGGCAAATCAGATTTATCTCGGTTATCTCGACTCCTCGCCTCCTAGTGACGATGTGCGGTAATACTGCTAAGATTGAAGGAGGGACTCAAGCAGCTGGTGTCGGTAATGCACCAAACGCTGTTTGTCAACCGCCGTAAAACCCAAGAAGAAGAAGACGAAGGAGGAGGGAATCAAGCAAATCAAAATGGCGGCGCCCGTCACATTCAGAAAGTTATGCTTGATTATTATTGCTGTACTTCGGTGTTTGCGGTGGGTCAGGCGAAGACGGCAACCTTGCGCGGATGTACTTGAGAAAGTCGGCTTTTGGGAAGTGGATCAGGGAAATTATCGTCTACTCTGGATTTACAGACGCCGGAAACAGCGACGGACCCTGAGGTTCATCACACTGCTGAGCCGAGTAATCACTGGAAACCGTGTGGAACGGTAGGGAAGCTAGTATACTTGTTACCTGTTCTTTCCATTAACTGTCCGCATTTGAGATGTATTATTTCGCTTTTTTTTAAGTCTCCCTTATTTTTGTTGTGCTTACAGAAGGGTTTGGATGAGAGAGCGGAGCGAACACTGGTGGCTTTATATAGTACGAGAGACATTCAACCCTCAGCAATGGATCGAAAACTTCAGGTAATTACAAAAAAAAGCTGATTTTCTTTCCCATTTTTTAAATAAGGGTTATTAATACTTCAACTGATAGACCCATTTTTTTCCTGAAGAGCAATGCGATGAATGAAACCATTATTTGTTTTGATTTCTGAATTAATAAAGTGAAAAACGACAAAGCACTGCGTATAATAAATGCAAAAATATTGTGAAATTTCTTCTTTTTTTTTCAGAATGAGCTACAGAACCTTCAAATGGCTTTGTGAGTCGCTCAGGCCTCATGTCTCCAAGGCAGAAACGAAGATGCGACAGCCTATTCCTGTGGAGCAGAAAGTTGGTGCTGTCTTGTGGTTTCTTGGAACCACATCAGATTATCGGACCATTGCTCACCTTTTCGGAATATCCAGAGCCTCACTGTGCATGTTTGTCAAGGATGTTTGTGAAGCAATATTTTTTCATCTGACACCACAGTTCATAAAGCTCCCCACTGATATAGAGGCTAGAAATATGATGGAGTCATTTAAAGAAAAATGGGGATATCCGACTTGCATAGGTGCTATTGATGGCTCACACATACCCATTGTCGCCCCCAAGGAGAGCCGAGTTGATTATTTTAATAGAAAGGGCTGGTATAGCATTAATATGCAAGCGCTTGTAGATGACAGGTATATGTTTAGAGATCTCTGTATTGGATGGCCAGGAAGCACTCATGATGCTCGTGTTTTAGTCAACTCCCGTCTATACCAGATTTGGGAAAATGGTGTTTTCCCCCATCTTCAAACAGAAATTGATGGTGTGATGGTGCCTCCCGTTATACTTGGCGATCCAGCATACCCTCTCTTACCCTGGCTGATGAAGCCTTATCCAGAAAATGCAGGGACAACAGAAGCCCAAAAAAAATACAACCACATCCATAGCCGTAACAGGATGTTGGTAGAGAACGCTTTTGGGCGGCTAAAAGGGAGATGGAGAAGGCTTTTGAAACGAGTTGACAACAAGACATCAAATGTTCCAAATGTCATCGCTGCTTGCTGTACCCTACACAATATCTGTGAGATGCAAGGAGAGGATTTCCTTGATCAGTGGGCCAATGAGGCAAATCAGCCACCTAGGAAGAATTTGGTTGATGGAGATAACAATCCTGATATTAACAATGCCCACAATATAAGAAATGCTCTCTGCCGTTACTTTGCAGAGCAAAATTAGCCTACATCGACTTAAATGTTATGTATTTTAAATAATTTCTTACAGTTTAGTTTTACATAATTTTGCAATTACTAGTGTGGTGTATATTTTGAAAAAGTCAGTAACAACAACAATTTTTGTATAAACATGTTATGTATTGTACATTTGTAAAACAATAAAAAAATTTACATATTTTACAATATTTTTCAGTTATTGATAAGGTCCATAAGTCGAAAAATTTGGCACAGAAGTCGAAGGGGACGCAGGGTTCAGAGGTTGTAATTGTGCTGGTTGAGTCAACAACTGGACCATCATCTGCATCATCCGCATCTCGTGTTCCCTCTGTTTCTCTTCAGCCTGTTTAAAAAAAAACCAAACAATTTATGTAAATGTCAAATGTACATTTCATTTTCTGATTAATTAAAGAAATGCATTTTTACCTGAAATCGGTTCCTTTCCATTTCCTGCATCATGTGGCGCTGATGTCGTTGGATTGACTCCTCATGTTCTTTAAATGCTGCCAGCCAAAGGTCATCAGACTGTTTTTGAGCTTTAATGTATTCCTCTATTGTAGAGTCAATAGCTTTTACGGTTTTGCTCTTCCTCTTGCGTTTAACAGATGATTCAGGAGCCTTGGCAGCAGGAGTATCATCGCCAGGACCTTCAGGAATGCGACTTCCTCCTGGCTCCTCAGAAACACAACTTGCTATAGATTCGTTCAAAGACCGCTCATCATCCATCTCTGCAATAAACAACAAACAAGAACAAAGAAAATAGATAAATATTGAATCTGAAATACATACACCCTCAAATTTACATGTAGAGCTACAGCTACTTTTAATGCCGTATTACAAGAGTAAACAAAGATCTCAATTTGATAGAGAAAGATATGAAGATTAAATTGAACACATTTTTTAATGGCAGCAGATTTGTAATTTTAACACTGATACTACATGCTGCTGTAGAGCCTACATACCATCATGCGTGCTGTACTCATGCTCCTCGTGGTCCGATGTTGCATCATCGTCCACTAAAATGGAAACAAAAAAATGAATGAAAAAGTGCAGCTAAAGACATTTCTTAGTAGATTAGTAGATCAACAGAATAAAAAACTAATGATTTTCGGTAACATACTTGTTGCTGCAGGGTTTAGAGAAGAGGTCTCTATAAGTACTGGAGGTCTCGACGATGCACGGAGGCCCAGCACTTCATCCATGGCACCGTAGAACTTCCACGTTTTTCTTCCTCTCCCCGACATGTTATTGTGGTCGACAATCTTCTTATAATGTGTTTGAAGGTTTTTTTATCTTTTCTCGGCACTGCTTCGGGTCTCGGTCGTATCCCTTTACCGTCATTTCGTCCGAAATCTTTTTAAACACTTTGTGGTTGTGTTTCGCGCCCTCCAACATCGCCTGCATAGCGTCCTCTGCCCATATAGCAATAACGGCCTCAGTCTCGGCGTCATCCCAGGTCGCACCACGCTCTTTTGAAGCCATTATTGAAAATGTTGCGTGGAGAAGATCTCTGTTGTTTATACTTGTTCTTCTTCTTCTGTATTGTGTTTGTTGGCAAGCAACTTCCGGTGGGGCATTACCGCCAACTACTGGAATGGAGTGTGAATCGGCATGTTCAGCCAGTCGGCGATGACGCGTTCTGCTCATGCGCTCTTGTTATCAGAGAACCGAGCCGAACCCACCTCGGGAACTGGTCTGCAGTTAGCGGGGTCCGGTTATGTCTATCTCGGTTCAGTTCAGGTTGTTTCCGTTCACACACGACAAGTTATTGCAGTTACTGAGCTCGGACCGGTCTCGGCTCAGTTTTTTAAGGGTAGTGTAAACGGGGTATATGCTTCTTTTTCTATGTCTGCTTCTGTCTCCTTGAACCCCAGTCGGCCTCAGCAGATGACCGCTCACACTGAGCCTGGTTCTGCTGGAGGTTTCTTTCTGTTCAAAGGGAGTTTTTCCTCTACACTGTCACTACAAGCATGCTTAGTGTGAGGGATTGCTGAAGAGTCAATGAGTCGATGCAATCAGCTGGTTTTCCTTAAATAGAAAACTTTGAATCAATCTATCTGAATGATCCGGTGAATTGTGACCTGAGATGACATCATGTGAATTGGAGTTAATAGACTCAATTGAACTGAATGTTTGCTTTCATGCATGTTATCAACATGTGCTTGCTTTTTTTCCTGGTCAGAAACTGCAGCATTCATCAAGAGCTTTAGTCATTGTTCCTTTTAAAGTACTTAAATAACAAAAAGTAGAGGGGAAAAAAGCTGCAAGAAATTTCTCCACATATCTGTGATCTGAGTCAGTGAGAGAGTGAAACAGATAGAGATTGTATACATTTCACTATAAAGACACTTTATGTCTGATAAACAGAGAAATACCAGTACATTCTGTTTGTATTTAATCGGTCAGTCTTTCGAATACAAGGTGATATAATGCTGTCCTTTTTAAACCCTTTAACTTTAATCGGCTGTTGTATCCACGTATCGCTAGCTAAGGTCCCACAACTAAAAGCTCTTAGATGATCCCAGGTCTAAGGGAGAAGCAACGTTTTCAGCTGCGCTTTCTAGCCTCTAGCAGCTCCCACAATACGGCAGCTGCAAAAATAGTGAGTAATGTTTGTTAATAAAATCTGTTTAAACCATCTCTGTTTAAAACACCTGGTTTAAAATCTGTTCAAACAATGACTGGACAATTGATCTAGCTGATCATCTGGCCAGTCATTGTTTTCTTCTTTTCTTTTACTTTTTTTTGCTTTTCTTTTCTTTATTACTTTACATTTGTCACGGCCTACCATGTTCCTAAACTAATATTTATACTGAAGTCCGTTGATGGCAACAGGTGAATTGCTTCTTATACACGCTTCTGACTTGAAAATATATCTTGAATATTTACAGCAAAAATAATAAATAAAAATACTTGACAAAATCTAAATAGAAAACGTCTTGTTACAGTTACAGCTAAAAATGAAAGCTAACTTAATCTGCTGGTACAGCTTTAAAAATGATCCAAAGATAAAATATAAAATATTTTTCTATCTCCCGTCCTCAAACCAAATGTTTTTGATTATCAGTATTTTGACAAAGTTATAAGATAATCATGTTCTCCACTTTAAGTCCCATTCCATACTGAGACAGACAGTATCTTTTAAACAAACGCTCTTAAAACAATGTGTCCACAGAAGTGCATGCACTGTAACGCCAAGTAAGACGATGAAGAACGAATGCCAGACCCATTGGTCATATGACAGATATGAACCTACAGGGATCAGCTGACTAAACGCTAAAAATGTGCAGACAACTTATATGAGAGAAACTCAGCAACAGTGGAGGAAAGAGGCAACAAACCAAGTAAAAGATGACATGATTAACATTCGAAGGACGTCGTTAAAAACTGGGTTTGAAACGTCTATGATTGGTCTAAAGTGGGATCAAATCAGACTGACCAATGATTAACAATGATTTCTGGACTAATCCAGACTATAACAGACGGACCAAATTTAGCCTAAAAACCAACGTCTGAATGACGTCTGGTGTTTGTGGGGAAAGGTGGGTGACGAAGAGCTAAGACATCATATGACATCATCATTTCCTGGGTCACACTGAAACAAGAAAGCAGCATTTTATAATCTTCCTATCCTGGTAAAAATCTGTGTCTTTATGGAAAGAACCATTCGATTTGGAGTCAGTCTACTTTTAAATGTTTTTTTTTCTGGCAGAGCTGCTTATTAAAACACTTTTTTCTATAATTTCACATTCGGCAGATTTCAGATTGGATTTTTGATGCTACTGGCAGCAAATAAAATCCCTGTGACTGAAATGATTGGAAATGCTAAAAGCAAAGAGCTACAGTGGAGTCCACCTGCGTCTCCTTGACTGACTGTTAATAGACGCTTGTTTGAATCAACAGAGCCTCTCTTTCTCCACAGAAGCCTGTAATTCGGCATGCATTGGAGGACAGATGTGCAACAAGTGTTTTAGTGTTGCTTCCGCTCCACACACACACAGATGGACAGATTGAGCTGTTGTTAATCAGGCACACTACGACACGATGCTTTTCTGTTGCTCACAAATGGCCGGCTGACTTTGCGTGTGTGTTCTCTGCAGTGTGCTGTGCAGCCTGGCACACTGGAGAACAGATGTATATTCAACAAGCCCGACCTTCCCGCCAAACTGACTCCTACTGTGAGCACCCCTCCCCATGCACACACACAAAAACAACCGGCTTACGTACTTGCAGCCCCTTCCTTCTCCCGCCAATGGCCATAACCTCTGCACACACATTCACACATATGCCTGGAGTGTGTGTTTCATGTCAATTCCCAGATCTCTTGTATGGGCACAAAGTGGCCTTGTGTTAGGCACGAGGCAGACCAATCTGTGAGTGTGTGTGTGTGTGAGATCAGGCAGGTGCTTCTTTTGTCTCAGAGACAGTAGCGCTTATCCAGACAATAGTCCAGAACGGACAGTTGCCCTCCGCACAATATCACAGCCTATCAGTCCTGGGGCTGCGGCCTGCTGCCTCGTCATGCTGCTGGGATCCTTCAGCAGACAAACAGGACGGCTGGAAAATATGTGCGTTTGTAATTAAGTAGCAAACGATCCCATAAAAAGAGGGTTCGAGGACAAGCTACACCACAAGACATTTCTTCCTTTTGCTGGTTATATACAGTCATTAGGAAACAGATATCAGATCAATTCAGGAAATTGTGGATGATGGATCGATGAAACCGCAGGGTTTAAAAGTTCACAGCTCACGATGTTTGTTCTCACACTTTGCAGCCCAACGCTCTGATATGATCTACCTGCTCACACTGTACGTCAATCTGGAAGAAGAAGAAGAAGAACTCCCTAGTTTGGACATGCGCAGGGTTCTCCTAGCTCTGCTTCAACAGCAGGATTTACCCTCCAACACCTCAGGATGGCCGACTGAATTTCTACCATGTTTGATTTTCTCCTAACCTCACGATTCCCGATGGGGAGGTGGTTGTTAGAGGCTCATCGCCCCTCCTTA